TTCAAAGCCAATGATGATGAGTCCAATGCAGATCCGGATGTGGATATTGACGATATCTTACGGCGCGCTGAAACCCGCGATACTGATGCCGTTGCCGGGACTTGTAACCCCGCTAGCACATTGTTATCATCCTTCAAAGTTGTCACCCTAGACAATCTTGAACAGGATGAGGAGAAAGTGATTGTCGATCCCCTTATGCGCCCCTCAACCGGTACCAATCAAGCTAAGTTGTGGGACCAAATAATACCATCAGAATTCAGAGACAAGGTTAGTAATGAACGTACTAAGCAGGAACTTTTGGACCTAGAACTTGGACCTCGCCGCCGTAAACAAGTTAAAGCCTTCCAGGCTGGAGTCGAAGGTGACACATCTTCTTCATCAGACAACGATAGTCGGCATAGTGATACTTGCTTGAATACCAAACTAACGGATAAAGAAATCCGAGCTCTCGTTCGAGCTGTCAGGCGATTTGCACGTCCTCTTGAAAGAATTGAAGCCATTGCCACTGAAGCTGAGCTTCCTGATAAGACGGAAAGGGAGGTTCGCGAGGTTGTGGATGCGGTTCTTAAGGGTTGCAGAGCTGCAATGGAGTCTTCTTTAACTTTAGCGGAAAAAAATGGCTTTAATGATATGAGTGGAAAAAGTTGTGCAAGTGGAGGCAAGGGTCCTGTCTTTTTATTTGGGCGGGTTGCTGTTGCCGCAAAGCCACTTCTACAAAGTTTGCAGGATCTCGAAGTCCTTCATCAGTGTTTACCTTCTACTAATAAGGAGTCTCGCATCAATTACCAACTGCCTTTCGTACCGAAGCCTGTATCTTGGTCGTGCCACTGGGATTCCCATGATGACGTGCGCCTACTGGCAGGCGTCTATGAGCACGGATACGATAACTGGGAAGCTATCAAATTAGATTCTGATTTAGGTTTGGGGGCAAAGCTTCTTCCCGTTTCTTCTACTGAGAAGCCTCAGGCTAATCATGTCAGAACACGAGTGGACTATCTACTAAAGGTGCTCTCTAAGGATCATGCTGGTGAAGTCTCTCGCGCTCACGCTGGATGTGCATCAGGTCGCAAGTCTAGGGTGGCTGATGATGTGAAACCAATTGAGCGTCATAAACGCAAGTCCGATCAGTTCACCTATACCCATAAGCCTCGTAATGATAGGGACTCGTACTGTGTTGGTGTAAAGCCAAAGTCTGCAGAATTTATTGACTCTGAGGATTCTTCCACATCATCTGATAACCTGGCCCTCATTGGAACAATGTCCCAGCCTACTAGTTATCACTCCACTACAAAGAATGAAGGTCGTAGTAGAGAGAA